CCCCGCTATTTCTCAAAGCGTCTAGTCTGCCGTGGCCCGGAACACCACCACACACGAAAACACCGATGCCCTGGAGGGGGACGATTTCTCCAGCACCAGTGACAAAATAGAAGGGCCCCGTCATCCAGTTGCAGGTATACATGTGGACGGTGTTGTGGAGAGGGAGTGGCTGGATGCGTTGGAGCGGTGGGAGACAGACAGCAAGGGACATCATATTTCATGCAAGGCGGCGTGGCGACTTACCGAAGGTCTTGAGGTTTTCGATTGACATAAACCCGTTCTTTGTCACGACGGACTTGAAAAAAGGGAAGGGGTTATTGGAGGTGAGGTCAAGTGGGATAGGAGAGTGGCGTGTTGTTGTTGTTGTTGTTGTTGTTGTGCAGAGACAAGCAGCGGATATGTGCGTGGTTAGCAACAGCGCGAGAGAGAGTTGGGAGAGAGTTGGGAGAGCGTTGGGAGAGACTGATGAAGTTTGTTGTTGTGGGAGGAAGAAAGAAACAGGGACGCGCAGGATCGAGGATCCATTTAAGCTGCGAGGGGCGCCCGCGGTGACTCAGCGCTGACTCAGCAGGTGGCTGGCTGGGTAACTATAACCAACCAACTGGTTGCCAACTCGGGGCTGAGCAAGTCACTCCCAGGTACCACTGGGTGCAAAAGTCGGGTGCGAGTGACGTCAGAGTGACAGGGATCGGCCAGCCCCTGATTGGTTTCGCCGTATTTCCAAGGGTGCCCCGATGCCGGTTCTACGAGATTCGTTGAGACGGAGAAAACAACACAGCAAGATAACTCAGCATGGGGAGAGACAAGAGAAGGGGCCATTCGTTAGCTCGTTGGCTCGAAGACTCTGACTTCAGCGGAGGGAGCTCTCTCCCCCAGTAGACAATCTACCAGCCGCTAAATCCACGACACCCGTCCAACGAACCGTAATAGTGATACAGTGCTTCATTTATTTGATGTATAAATTCTTTCTCCGTCCAGGTAAAGCATATGCATATGTAGCCCAGCTCTAATAGTACAACCAAAAAAAAAAAAAAAAAAAAAAAAAAAAAAAAAGAGAGAGGAAAAAAAAGGAAAAAAAAAAGAGGAAAAAAAAAGGGAAAAAAAAGGAAAAAAAAAAGAGGAAAAAAAAGGGAAAAAAAAAGAGGGAAAAAAAGGGGAAAAAAAGGGGAAAAAAAGGGGAAAAAAAAAAAAAAAGAAAACCGATCCTATCCCTCCACCGCCTGTCTCCTCAAATCCAAATACTTAGCCGCGTAGTCATTCGCCAACACCCGATCTCCAGACAGATGCATCACCGTCGCCTTCTTCGCCATCATCTCGCATTGGCCCTGCACATCCTCCATGTTCGAAAACTCCCCAAATGCACAGTCGATAAATTCCACCGCCCGCGCCATGTGCTCCTTCTGTCGCACTTTGTCCCGCTGCGCCTGGCCCGCCAGTCCCATGCTGGCATCAGCTAGCAGTGCATACGTACGTGCGGCGAGATAGGAGTCTTCGCATTCGAGAACTTGTGGGACAATGCTATCCAGGATCTCAAGGGCGGCCTCGAATTCCTTGAAGGTCATCAGGATGACGGAGAGCACCCCGATAGACTCCCATAGGCCCGGGAGATATCGGGACTGATAGGCGATATGGGCTGCTCTCATCGCCAACGAGAATCCCCGTTCTGGTTGGTGGGTCTGGTCGAAGATTCTTGCTTTGGCAACCAGGAGTTTGACCTGATTGGCGACATCGAAATTCTCCTGTCGTATGGATTGGGCAATTTCTTCGATTATTTTAAGCGCGGCTGCGTAGTTACCTTTCCGCATCTGGAAATCAACCTCCAGGAAGGACAGCGTCATGGCTAGTTCCAGATCTGGGGGTGCGCACGCATGGAGTTGCGGTATTAGCTCTTCTACTGCCAGCTTATCATCCCTGCCAAAAATATGTCAGTCAAACCATGATATCCAATCCAAGGTCGTCTTTTGCTGAAGGAAGAGAAAAGCTAATAAAATATAAAAAAAAAGAAGGGGGACATACCTATGTAGCTGTCTCTGCAACTTCAAAAGCCCGCAAAAAAACGTCCAATTCTGCTGGTACTTAAGAACATTAAGCGCATCGGAAGGCACCTCATTTAACCGGGCCATCGATTTAAAATAGCTTCCTTTCGCAGCCAACTTCCAATTGGTCGGTCAGCAGTGAACTTCTTTGGCCCATTGCTGGGTTGGAAATTAATATTTACCAGCAAACTACTGCGACAGGTCGCCCTAAAATTATCGTCGAATGGAGCTTGCTTTGCATAACATTCCCGAAAGATCTCGCAATTCGACCAGGCAACATGCGCAACCCCTTTCAGTAAGAAGCCATCAGCAGGCCCCCCCCCCCCCCCCCCCGTCCAGCTCGAGATTAGGGTGAGGTTTGGAAGCGAAATTACCTATTCTGACATATACTGATGCTTGTAACATAAGTTGTGACCCAATTGGCTGGCGCGCTCTCTTATTCACTATGAGAAACGAGGCTTTGACGATGTGCTCAAACGCCGACGCCACGCTCTCGCCCTGTTAGAAAAAATAGCGGTAAGCCAGTCGGAATTTCACACCGTAAAAATAAAATAAATAGTAATCGTACATGCTGTAACTCCAACTTAGCTTCACTGAGCATCGAAGTACTCATCAGACTCCACATCTCTATCTCTTTAGACTTTGCTTGGAGAAATGCCAGCGTTTCCTTCTCACTCCCTAGCATCCTCGTATTCTGCACATCTCTCATTTCATCTGGGAAGGCTTTCCCGAAGTGGTAGACCCAGCTCATGCAGAAATTGAGGCAGCTCATATCATGGGTCTCTCGGGCAATCGAAATGGCCTCTTGCATAGCAGAGACAGCTTCCCCATGGCAGCCAAAGTCGGCTTGGAGGATGGCAAGGTTGAGAAGAGCGTACTGATAAAATGTTCTGTCACGATTTTGCATAGTGTAGTCAAAGTAGTGATGTAGATGGTCGAAAGAGGAGGAATAATCTCCCGCTCTCCAAGAATCGAGGAATCTTGAAGGTCCTGGATCAGAATTGGCGGTACAAGGGCGGTTTCAGGGGCGGAAAGCAATAAAACTACTTACTTTATATAATGTTGCGAGCTTGGTATAGACACGCCGGATGCGATCATCTGTTCTAGACGCGACTTCATCTCTTCTGTAATCCTGCACCCGATGCCTTTGACGAGAAACTAGCGTTAGCAAAGCCTGAGCTCCAATCTCAGCAAAAACCGGCGTAGATAAAATTATCTGGAAGACATACTCTGCATCTCCCCGACCTGGAAATCCAACAACCGCTCAATATCCCTCGTACTCATCCCGACCTCCACATCCTTCCCTTCCTCCAACTCACCGTACACAACCTTGGCCAGCGGACTCGTCAAATCCAAGCCCAGCTCGACCAAATTAATGTCCACCGCCATCTGGCTATCCAACGGATTCCTCTTCACCCACAGCTGGTACGTTGGTAGCCGATATTTGATAAAGCCCCTCCACAGCGCCATGGCATCGTGGAATTGTAGACGGGAGTACTCGAGCTGGGCGCGTCGAACAAAGGCACCCAGCGGCGAGGAGCGGGAGAGCAGCATACGACCTGTCTCGGGCGCAATGCCATTATCTCGATTATAGATCTGCTCTTCGCGCGTCTTCATCAGCATCTCTGATATGCAAATGAAGAAGTCGTCGAGCTCATCGGAGCAGTTAAGATGCCATAACTTCTTCAGCAAGAGATCCCAGACAGTTCTACCGGGAATTGAAGAAGCTAGGTGTAATGTGGCTGCTTCAAAGTCCTGAATGGGTATGGCATGTCTTTTGTCTTGGGAAGTGGTGAGAGCTGAGGGTCTCAGGGGGAGGAGATGGGAGATGAGAAACGAGAGGACGGGGACAATGGCGGAGTTGGGGACTGCGCCTTCTGTGTAGACGGAGACGAGAGCAAGGAGGGCTATTTTGGAGGGGGTGAGATATCGACCCATCTTGACTATTGATTCATTAAGGGAGGGGGGTATTTGTATAGGGGATCCGCCATTACAAGGGGTTGGACATGCCGGCGGAGACTGTAAACGGAACTTTCTGAGAGACAAAAGCAAATCTGGGTAAATATCTTCCGCTTTGTTTATCCGAAGACTGTCTTCACATTCCTACTATCTGGCGTTTAATTGTATCTCATGCCTCAGAAATCGCATCATGATGTCAAGTAGTTGCAGTTGTTGCAGTTTAAGTGGTTGATGCAGTGCAGTATGCGGCAGAATGCCAAACCCTGACTAATCGATCTCCGCCCACCGATCCAATTGCTCCCCGCCGTCACCGCCAAACACCGCCAATGTCTCCTCTACATAAGTGTCTATATCTATCAATTTATTTGTATATATATCCCAATTGCCCTCCACATCCGCTGAATACCCTTATATACCCCCCATCCATAGCCATGTCTGAACCCATAACCACCAGCAATCTGGAGAATATCCTTCCCCTTGTTGCGCGAGGTAAAGTCCGCGATCTATACCAAGTCGACCCGCACACTCTCCTCTTCGTAGCTACAGACCGCATCTCCGCCTACGACGTGATCATGGAAAACGTACATCCCAAACCTCCATTGCCTTGAGAAATGAAAAGAAAAAAAAAAAAAAAAAAAAAAAAAAAAAAAAAAAAAGAGTGTAAAAAATGATACAAATCCCTACTTTAACTAACCCATATACCTCCTCCATTGAAACCAGCCAATTCCCAATAAAGGCGTCCTCCTCACCCTCCTGACAACCCACTGGTTCAAAATCCTCTCCGCCGCCGTCCCAACCTTGCGTACACACTTCCTCACCCTCGACCTGCCCCCTCAGATCCCTGAATCCCTCCGACCAACCCTGCAAACCCGCAGCATGCAGGTACGCAAGCTGAAAGTCTTCCCCATAGAAGCTATAGTGCGCGGCTACATCACCGGCTCAGCCTGGAAGGAATACCAGGCATCCGGTACTGTGCACAGCATAAAGATGCCGGAGGGGCTGAAGGAGAGTCAGCGTTTCCCAGATGGTGCCATATATACACCCAGCACTAAGGCGGAGCAGGGAAAACATGATGAGAATATCCATCCCGATCAGGGTACCACACATATCTCCCTTCCTCCCCTTCCCCCTCCCCTTTTCCTTTCCCTTTTATTTCTCAAACAGCTAACACGAAGCAACCGCAGCCGTAACCATTGTAGGCCCCAAATACGCCCGCATCATCTCCACACTAGCCCTGCAACTCTATGAAACCGCACATGCCCACGCATTCTCACGCGGCCTCATCATCGCGGATACCAAGTTCGAATTCGGCCTCGACACGGAGACGGATGAAGTTGTGCTAGTTGATGAGGTGCTGACGCCGGACTCATCGCGGTTCTGGGCGGCGGAGAATTATCAGGTTGGCAAGTCGCAGGAGAGCTTTGATAAGCAGTTCTTGCGCGATTGGCTGGTCAAGAACGGGCTAAAGGGGAAGGAAGGGGTGAAGATGGACGAAGAGTTGGTAAGGAGGACTGGGGAGAAGTATCGGGAAGCATATGAGAGGATTACGGGGGAGAAGGTGGATTTCTAATACTTCAGGGGTGGAATTGGGGAGCGGGATGGAACGGCATGTAGGCGTTACGGGCGTACTATTGTTCGTTTCAAATGTAATATCTTCATTTGCGTTTAGAAGAGCGGGGAAGTCTGGAGCGTCTAAATAGAGATTCATGTTGCATATTTGCATATTGCATAATTTCAAAGCTTGGTTCATTTCAATAATAAGAACGCCAAAAAATGCTCGTGCTTCAGACGAAGTAACTATATAACTAGATGTATGCACACATA